TTGTCCAGGATGGAACATCACAAACATTTGATTTCCACTCGAGAACTTAGACTCATTCCAAGACGAACTCTGACAAAATCGCCCCAGCGAACGAGACGTTGTGGACCCACCATCATAAAGCTCCACATAAGAACAAGAATCCAAACAAGGATGGGCTGAACACTCGCTTAAGACAAAGTCTGTAAATGTAAACTTTACAATTTTGTCAGCCGGCGCGGTAATGTTCCAGGTACAATTTCTGGACGCAGTGTAGTTACTTTTTGGGTAGTTTGTGCTGCTTATTTTCCCACTGCATGAGAGAGGAATTGCTTCATTGGGACAAACTATAAACAGTGAAAAAGGAGCAAGTGAGTGTAGCAGAATAAGCATAGGCTGTTCCGGGGGTTCAGTTGGTAAAACACAGTGCCATATTGAACAGAGGAGGGTAGCAGAGGATTGAAGAAACGAGGGAAAGGTGGACCATGTTGTGAAATCAACTTCTTCTTTTACCTACCAGACCCAAACCTCACTCTTTTGCACTACGCCGCTACTATCGTGCCCATAGCTATTTCGCTCTGTTTGACTGACTAGAACGCTTGAAACAGACCAGAATACGTGGATCGGTGATAGATATATGGTTTATTTCATAGATGGTGTCAAAATGTGGTAAGAACAAAAACACGGCGTAGGAGACGCAGCCAAGTGTTACTGATGACCACATTTTGACGTCATCTGGTATCTCTCGCTGAGCAGACGCACAGCAACGTTACACAACGCTTACACTGTCCATCAGAGATGTTCGCATTCACCCTGAATTGATAACAGAGAGAACCTCCACTCTTATTAACTAAGCTCCTTATCATTACTTGAATAGGTGAGTTTATTGCATGAAACATCTTCTCTCAGTGAACTCTTAGATCTCACGAAGTTGTTTTTTCTACTTACTTGGAGGACTGTAGTTCAACAGCTTGTAAGTTGCGTCAAATCCTTCATAATCCATGTCTGCATCATCGGACACAAACACCACTCTCAAGCTTTCGTGCAGTGAATAAAATTTTACAGGAAATAACGTTGGTGCAGCACATAGTTTTCCAGGCAGCGCTTCATCACTGAAGCTGTTCTGAACTTCCATATAATCACACGAGCAATCAGCGCCATCACAACGTGGAAGATTATAGTCTGGTATTGTGAGCTCAACACGGTATCCTTGTTTCCCTATAATCTTCCAGCTACATGTCTGGTTGAATGGATAGTTTCTTGGATAAAAGGGAGAGGAGAAAGAACCTGATGTTTCATTGAGGATCATATCTGTCGGGCACACTGAAAAGAGTAACAGAGACTGTGTCAGGCTTCGAAAACTGTTTTAGTTTTGATTTTTCAGTCCACTGTGGTCAACTGCTTGATTT